ACCGTTTGAGGATCTGTTCCTCTGCAGTCACATGGACTTGGGAGGAGCCCCTGGCTCCTTTCTTTTACCAGTTCCATCTATGTGAAGATAAGTCAAAGGTCCTTCTCGACTATGGCTAGCTTCGCTTGAGCATGGAGGAAATGTTTCCTCTGTGTTGACCCTCCTCTTTGTAGACTGGACACTGGTTCAAGTCCATCTGGTGGGGGTCTCCATGGCCTCCTTGGTCAAGAGGACAGGTGACTCACCACAGTTACGGGACATTTTGAGAGATGCTCATAGTCCATTGGAACTTAGTCTACCTAGAAGGGCAAGGAGCAAAAACTGTCCTTTATGTCCCTCTGACCAAATTAGTATAGGCCTCAAAGTATGTCTGTTAAACATCCAAGAAGGTTAGTTCCACCAGTCTGGTACTTTTAATTACCATGTTCTATGTAGGTAAAGCTTGGGCAAAGACCAAAGGTCTTAGCAAAGGTTCTCAGCTAAACCTTGCCTAACCTATTATTATATTCCTTGAGCTAGTTGTACATATAATTCGTCAGTAGGTTGTTTGATTAATATAGTTCCCTCTGGTTTCATTAAAACTAGATAGGCATTATTTATTCCTAACATTATCTAACCCTTGGGGATAAAGGGAAAGAAGGAGCTCAAGAGAGGTGGGACCATAGGGGAAGGGTGTTATTAAGGGAGAAATGGGAAAATGTGGGAACTTTATATGGGAAAACCATGGTGGAAGGGTTAAAGATTTCATGAATGTCACTGGCCTCCCTGGCTTCATCTCTGACCGTGAACTTTCATATATACATAGAGCCACAGTTACTGAATTAAAACATCACAAATTGTAATTATATCACCAAAAGACTTGTTTTTAATGCTGAAAATGTATACTTATAGGAGAAAGTGCAAATGGACATTTTCATTCTTTTTAAACTATTTATTATGATGGTTTTCTAAAGCAGGCCTAAGCATACACCTATAATCGCAGCACTAAAGATGCTGAGGCAGGAAGATCTCAAATTTGAGGCCAGTCTCAGTTAACTACGATGCCCAGGTCAAAAAACAAAAATAAAATAAACACAAATACATTTTCTGTACATAATTTCTTTGAGAAACAGTAATGAACTTTATTTGATTTGACTGGTCTACTCATAGCAATAGCAGACACACCACAAATGTTTATTAAAAAGTTGACTCCCATCCTTGGGAGTAGTAGTCCCAGCACTTGGGAGGCAGAGGCAAGCGGATCTCTGTGAGTTCAAGGCCAGCCTAGGGAGTTCCAGGCCAGCTGGGGCCACAGGGAGATGCTGCTTCAAAAAGAACAACAACAACAAAAAAAAAACAAAAACAAAAAAAAAAACTAAAGAAAACACAACTATTCAGTGTTTTTATATGTAAATAAACTGTATAATTTATAGGAGTTGCAAACAAGTGAACAAGAGTCACCATATAGCTGCGCTCTGCATAATTTCTGACTGATTATTCCAGTCTACAAAGAGCTTCTATATGCCTAGTAAATAAACATTAATTCATGGACTTCAGCGAATGCTAGTACCTAAAACAGAACTTAGAATATCATATAAATTGCTCGACTGAGGAGTTTGAAAATTGTATGTGCAAGGACAGGATACACACACACACACACACACACACACACACAACACACATACACACTCAGTGTTCAGAAATGAGATGCCTTCTTAAACACTTTCCAGATCTTTATGATATCTTTCCTCAGTTTTAAAGTTTGATCATATGAAACTAATACAAAGCCGGGCATAGAGACATGCCTTTAATTCCAGCACTCCTGAGGCAGAAGCAGGTGGATCTCTGTGAGATGGAGGCCAGCCTGGTATGCATATTTAATTCCAGGGTAGCTGGGGCTATAGGGAGCCTCTGTCTCAAAAAGACCAAACACACACACAAAGAAAGAAAGAAAGAAAGAAAGGAAGGAAGGAAGGAAGGAAGGAAGGAAGGAAGGAAGGAAGGAAGGAAGGAAGAAAAACACTAACCCCTTCATCTGCACAGTTTTTGAAAGAAATTAAGTTTCCAAAGGAAAAAAAAACTTATGTCTTATACTTTATACTACATAAAATTATAAAATATGCACAAATGGAAGACTGCTTTAAAACTAGCTTTAGACAAATGTACACTTTTTTGAAAAGAATGGAAGATGAATACAATCCAGAGGACCGCAACAGACAAAGCTTGCT